AGCAATCTTAATGAGAAAACAAATGCTTGGTTAGTTACAAATATAATGAAGACAAAAACGAAATTCGGTATGGGGAACATTTATAGTAAAACTAAGAAAACGGGAGGAAAAACTGGTTATCAGCTCTTCAAACATGCTTTAAAAAAAGCTAAACAAAATTTAAAGAAAAGTGATAACTTAAAAGATGCAATAAAAATTTCACGAAAGGTTGTAAATAATATTTTTAGAGGGAAAAAGTCTATAATAAAAACACCACGTGTAATACCATTACCTAAATCTGGAGGATTTCTCCCATTAGCGCCTTTATTCGTAGCATTAGGAGCACTTGGAAGTCTATCTGGCGGTACAGCAGGAATTATTAAAACAATCAATGCTATAAAAACTGGAAAGGAGCAGTTATTGGAGGCGAAACGTCATAATAATACAATGGAAGCTATTTCAATGGGAAAAGGAATGTTTTTAAAGCCTTATAAAAAGGGATTCGGATTATATTTAAAACCATACCAAAAAAACTCTTAATGAAGCTACCCAGAAGACCTCTTACTGATGTAGACTTAAAGAAGTATTCAAAATTTATTCCAAATTTTAGAGGGGTATTCATGTGTGACACTTTACCCCGTAAACCATTTAAGAGAGAATGTGGAATAATAAATTTGGATAGTTCAAAGGGTCCGGGAACGCATTGGGTAGCTTACTGGAAAAACGATAATGAGATTGATTACTTCGATAGCTTTGGAAACTTACAGCCTCCTAAGCAAATAATAAAGTATTTAGGAAAAAACATTAACTATAACTATAATCAACAGCAAAGCTATAATTCATATAATTGTGGACATTTATGCTTAAAATTCTTATTATCAAAATAAATAAGTAATTATAAAACTTTCTTTTATTTCAAATTAAATTTTATTTGTTCTCATCATCAACATCAACAGGCCTTTCCATTCATATACACATATATATTAAAGGGAGTGTCTATTTACACGCGTTACGGTAACTTACCGTGGATCCACGGTAAAAAATACCGTGGATCTACGGTAAAATTACCGTGGATCTACGGTAAAAATTACCGTGGATCCACGGTAAAAATTGCCGTGGATCTACGGTAAAAATTACCGTGGATCTACGGCAAAATTACCGTGGATCCACGGTAAAAAATTACCGTGTATCCACGGTAAAAATTACCGTGTATCCAAGGTAAAAAAATTACCGTAGAACCACGTAGAAATTTACTGTGGATCCACGGCAATTTCTGAAGATTTTTGCTTGACGAAGAAGATGTTTGATTTCCGAAGTGCGCGAAGAACCACCTTTTTAATGTAGATGTGCGGTAAATGATATTTTTTTTTTAAACGACTTCAAAGAAAACTAAGAGGTTATCTATTCGACATGTACATATGTCGTATGTGTGTATGTATGTATATTTGTTAATTGTATATGTATGACATAAACAAGAACACTAATCAGAGAAGAGACGGAGATTACGAGCTTGCCCATTCAGATAACATACTCAGAAAGGTAACAAAAACTTCCTCTGAAGATTCAAAATCTCTAAATTTAGATTTTTGGCGTTCCTTCCTAGCGTTTTAAAGAAATTCTCGATGCGAAATTAACATATGATAACATTATAACAAGGCACAGACCTCTGTCTACTTTAACTGAGCCAACCCAGAACCCAGAGATACCGATCGATTTAACTCGCCAATTCCCGAATAGCAGCACTGATTCAGCTCATAACCGTTTGCCGGAAAAGGTCGTCCTGGAAGAAGAAAATCCCAAAACCCCACCTTCCGCTGCTGACCACAAAGAAACGCCTTTGGTGATGCCATCTTTACAGCTTCAAACTTGTAGCAAGATTAACGAGGCGACAATTGATACTCTTTTTGGAATAAAAGATGTTTGTAATGTCGGAAAGCCTAGAGGAGCCCCCAAAGGCCGAAGGACCACAGTGGCTGGGATACCGCTCCCAAAGGAAGAAGGGAACAAACGATTGCTACAACAGCATCAACGCGCTGGAGGCAGAGAGGTGGCTAGAGGTCAACGAGCGTCCAGGGGTAGAAGTCGTGGGGCAACTCAAAGTTGGGGCCCAAAAAAATTGGACGACGACAAAGTTGGTGGAGTAGCCTTTGATACAAAAAATAATGACACCAAACTTGAGATGATGCTGAAATGGCTACTGATGTCAAATTATGTGAAAGGGCGAGATTTCACGTCTTCAAAAATCAAAAGCAGCGAAATCGACACTGCCAATTTGAACGATTCTTTCATTGATACCCGAGGCGATCATCTAAAACTTTTAATGCCGTGCATGGCGAAAGATACATTTGAAACATTTTTGGTTACTCTTGGAATGAAAAGAGCTAAAGATGATTACAAATGTGCTGTATGTGGAGGAAAACATCATCAGTCGTGTAAAAATGTTATACGTTGTGACGGATGTTACCTATGGCATCATTGGGTGTGTGTGGAGATAAAGAGGAAGCCGGTTGGCGATTGGTTCTGTGCCTTGTGCTCTATGGAAAAATAGGAAAATACAGCAACAACGCGCAGTAGTTACTTATCGACAGTAAGATATCATGGTTTGTTTAATCATACACAAAATAATTTAATCATACGGAAAATAATCATTATTTGTTAAATTTTAACCAGAAAATCAAAAGTTGTAATCGTCGTAAAACAGTTTTATCTATACTGACGTATTTCTATTCGTACCTTCTACTGTAATTTACGATGATCTTTATTTTTCGAGTTTAACCAATAAAGATTAAAGATAATAATTAATATTCGAATGTCATTTTTTCGCTCAAAGGTTATTATTATTGCACGATTTTTATTAACTAATTAACGAATTGATTTTTGAATGAATGGCAGTAACTTAGGTATTTACATACATCTATCGTGATACATCTATATGAGAAATTAGGATTGTTCATTCACGTTGGAAAAATAGATAACCTCGGGTCCACACTAATTTTTGTCGTAGATCTACTGTTAAAAAATACAGTTATTCGCACGCTTCGAAAATCACTGTGAATCCACGGTAATTTTTTTCCGCGGATTCGCGGTAAATACACCGTGGATCGACGGTAATTTTTACCGTAGATCCACGGCAATTTTTACCGTGGATCCACGGTAATTTTACCGTGGCGCGTGTGTGTAGACACTGCCTATATTAAATACTTAGCAATCAACTATGTGCACATTACTAACACACTTTTCTAGGGGTGGAGCATCTATATATGTATATATATATATACGGATGTACGTTTGTATATATTTCTGACTGCATACCAACACACTTTACTAATTTTCGACATATAAACCACCTGGTATCGGATTTCTTAGATTTCCATCAGCGGTACACCCTGTGATCGTTTTCCGGTTCTGAATGGTATCGGATTTCTCGGATTTCCATCAGCGGAACACCCTGTGATCAGTTCGGGTTCCGGAATCAGATTTGTCACCAGCGACATCTTGCGGCTTTTATCTGGGGTCTGAACTTGGATTATCGGCGACATCTTGCGGCGGAGCAGCAAAGCTTGCGGCAGAGCACCAGCAAACCGTATAGCGGTTTTGCACATGTGCAAGCAGCAAACCATATGCCGGTTCTGGCCTTGTGCAGGCAGCGCTGCTAACACAAGGCCAGAACCGGCATATATATACCACTCAACGATTCCTAAGTTTTATCTAACTAGCATTTGAATGTGACTGGGGGGACACTGAAAAGAACTCTATTTTACCCTGGTGCACTCAAAGATGAATTTTAGCCAAAATACTTAATTTATTTGTGTTGTAAAATATAAATTATACGCTTTCGTTAAACCCCCCACCCCCCTAAAGCTAATAACCTCAAATACGAACTGTATCTTAAAGCTTAGAATCCGGCTCTCAAGAAAAATCACAAGAAATATTTTTTATTATTTGTGTTGCTTGTAAAAGAACTTTCCTTTTGCTGTAAATTTTCTTGAAGAAATAATTTGAGCCCTAATATTCCTAGAGCATCTAGATGCATTTCTGCATCAAAAATAAAATTTTGAAAAAAGTGTCGCTTACGTTATTTTGGCGGTTAGGGCTCGAAATATACGAGCATTTTTCTTGAGAGCTGCAAACTGATTAAAAAAATTTTGATAAAAGATTTAAGAAATTTCTTGTTGTCATTTTATGTATATGAATTTTTCGCTTTTCTTGACAGCTATTAAAAGTTTAAAAAGCACCATCTCCATCGAAAACCAGCAACAGGATTCCAGCATTTACTATAGCTGATTTTGATCGCCAAAAATCTCCAAAAGAAT